GGTGTTTATTTTATAAAACAATTTGTAACATATTTAACAACACTTCTGCTGTTTAATTCCTCCATTTCCTCATTGATTTAGCTGCATGTTGTATGTGCAGCATCACTTGGATGACCCGGATGACCCCAGTCCACCTAGTGCAGTAAAGTTTGATCCTCAGAGCCTTACCTTGTTTCTATGCCAAGGGCTTTGGTGCTGCTCAATCTGCTTGTTTGCAAAAGAAAACAGTTTGTCCAAAGAGCTGTCTTTCCCACCTTTAGAGAGAAAAAACTTTGCAGAAATACCACCAAATGGATGTAACCTAGTTTTTTCTTAATGAACTTAGTAGTTTGTAAAAATCATTCTATAAGGATGAGCTCTAGAGTACTAATGCTATCTTTTTTATGTCCTCTGTCCCTTTCTCATCTTGCTGATTCAATACTAATGCTCACGTCAGGTGCTGAATATATGCCTGTTAACGTCAGTGGATTGTGGTGTAGTTTTGAAACAACCTTGTATAAGCCATGCAAAAAAGAGCATAAACACTTTTTCAAAGTAACACCACTAAAAAATAGTTTCATGACTGTTCCAGAGATGACAGTTTGAAAATAGTAAATGGCTAAACAGCTGTCACTTTTTTTCATGTTTTTATCAATGCAGATATTTACCAAGACCACATGACTCTGCTTCTTAACATAGCCTGCTAGGGCTTTGGACTTCCTCCTACCTTCCAGTTTCAGCCAGAAAAGTTGTGCTTTTATTTATCTGTCTTACATACTGAGCTTCGCTGTAAGCTTTTACTTAATAGGTCAGCCTTTATCATTTTTGCCAAATAATTGTACATGGTATCTCATGTGGCCTTGGTTTGATTTTTCCTAAACATTGGTGGGAGGGAGGAATGGATGGATGGATCTCTTAGGAAAAAAATGTATCTACGTGTTTTATCCATATTTCTATCGTGTTATTTTTGCTTTTCTTATTGGTTAAAGAAATGTTGCATATGTTCTTTATACAGCAAAGGCAGGACCTCTAAGAGTATTGAGTACAAATGGTATGCGTGGGTGTCCTTGTCTCATTTCAGATTTTGAAGGGAATACTGCTGGTGTTTGTACATTTAGTATAATGGACATTTTTAATAGATACTTTTTGTCAGGTTGAAGAGGTTTTTTCCTATTCCTGATTTTCTGAAAATTTTTATTAAAAATGAATGTTAAACATAATTAAATGGTTTTTGTACCACTATAAAGAAGATAATATGCTTCTTTTCTTTTCGTATCTTTTTTTTTTAAATGTATTTGGTACAGGGTCTACAGGGTCTTAGAACACAGATCGGACTCATAGTGATCCTCCTATTTTCACCCTCCCAAGCACTGGGATTACAGGCATGTGCCACCACGCCCAGTCTCAGTCGCCCTCTTTTCATCTCTTAATATTAAATTTATAGAAATTCTAATACTATTCCAGCTTGAGATAATTTCATTGGGTTATATTTTTTAATGGTACTAAATTTTGCTAACATTTTGTTAAGAATTTTCACACCTATGTTAATATGAGAAATGGACCTATAATTTTACTTTCTCGAACTTTTGGTTTGATTTTTTTTTTGTTTGATTTTTATATCAACCTTATATTGGCTTTGTAGATTAAGCTGGCTATTATGGTTAATTTTGTTGATTTTAAGCTGACACTATGTATCAACCACTACATTGTTGTCAGGAATCAAACTTGGAACCTTGCACTTGCTAGGCAGGCACTGTGCCACTGAGCTATCTCCCAGCCCTCACCACAGATTTTTTTTTTTATAATCTCTCTAAACTAGAAAATTTAATTAATTTACATTCATTACTTTGTGTATGTGTTTTAATCATCTAATTTTTTTTTTTTTTTTGCTCATCTTTTTTCTTTTTTAGCTTTTTAAATTATTTTTAGGGGTTGGCAAGATAGGTCAGAGAACTAAAGTGCCTGCTTAGACAACTTAGGCAAGTGTAGAGACACAGTTGGATCCCCAGTACCACATACCACACCAGCCCAGCCCCAGGGCAGGCTGAGCCGGCCAGAGTCCGGATGGCTGTGGTGGTGCAGGCCTGTAATCCCAGCCATGCTGGGAAAGCTGAAAACAGGAGGATCACAGTCCAAGCTTCATAGTAAGACCCTGTACCAACCAAATACATTTATTTATTTTTTTTTTTGAACTCCAGCAACCCGAGGCTGACAGCTTTGTGGAAGCAGCCACTTAAAGGCCTGAGCTAGGGCCAGGCCCCCCAACCAAATACATTTTAAAAAAAATTTTTTTTAATCATTTTCTGTTTGTTTGTTTGTATTTAGTACAGGGTCTCACTACACATATCCAACTCATAGTGATCCTCCTGTTTTCAGCCTCCCAAGAGTTGGGATTACAGGCACCACCACACCCAGTCTCAATCACGCATGCCTGTAATCCCAGCTCTTAGGAGGCTGGGAAGATAGCTCAGTGGCATAAGCACCTGCCTGGCAGCAGCAAGGTCCCAAGTTCCATCCCCAGTACAGGAAAAAAAAAAATTATTCTATCCTCTAACAACTAATAATAATTTCTGCAAGTACTTGGAATCTGATTTCCCTACCTTATCCCTAACAAGCTGATATAACTTAGACTTAGTTCTGGATTGGTTTTTTGGTTGGAGTGTATATTTGTACACATGTCTGTTCATATGTATGTGTATACATGCTTGTGTGTATTTAAAGAAAAACTTTTAAAATGTTAGCATAGACTTCATGTGTGTATATAAAAGGGACAAGATTTTAGTTTTATACATTTTCCCCCAATGGGTGACCTCCTCTCAAAACTAGCTGCTATTAACTTCATCTGTCTGTCTGATGTGTTGTTCTGGCTACCTTCTAATTCATGGGCTCAAGAGACCCTCATGCCTCATGCTCCCAAGTAGCTGGGATTACAGGCACTTACCACTTCTTGGAACTTAACTTGGTTATTAATAATTAGTAGTGCGGTGTACAGAACTAAAGTAAACTGTAACTTATTCATGCAAATATCTGATGGCTTTAAATCTAAATTGATGTTTATCAATATATGAAAATCTATATCTAAAACATTTTAGAGGAAAATAGCACTTTACAAAACATGTTTATGATATAACATTTCTGTTAAATTCAAAACCTAAAATGGCATATATTACAAATATGTATGTATGGGTAAAAATTAAAATATACATTGAGTAGGCACACCACATTGGGTAATGATTACTTCAAGTAGGTGGAAGGGAATTACAATAATTAGGCCAGCACCGGGGAGATGGCTCAGTGGAATAAGTGCTTCCCTGGCAAGCTCAAGGGCCTGAGTTCAATCCCCGGTTTCGCAAAAAAAATAAAATACAATAATTAGGCCAGATAGGTAGCTTTGACACATTAGTTCCTATTCAAACAGTAAAGATATTTTAGATAAGCTGGGGCACAGTGCTGTACACCTGTAATCTGAGAGGCTCAGGAGACTGAGCCAGGAGGATCATAAGTTCAAAGCCAGCCTGGGCAATTTAGCAAGGTCTTTCTCCAAAACAAAACAAAACAAATTTTTTTTTTTTTTTTTTTGGTGGTACCAGGGATTGAACTGAGGACCTTGAGCTTGCCAGGCAAGTACTTATTTCACTGAGCTATCTCCCCAGCTCCCCCCCCAAAAAAAAAATTTTAATGCTGATAAAATATCTCAGTGCTAGAATGCTTGCCTACTATGTAGCAGGCCCCACTATCAGCATACCAAAAGAGAGTATCAAATAAATCTGGTGGTGGCTATTATTTTAACTTTTCTCATACATATGTATTCATTTGATTTCTGGTTTTTGGGGGTTTTTTGGCTGGCTCAGGATGCCTTCAGGGCAGGTCTGGTAAGGCTTGAGGATCTAAGGATCAAACCACAGCATCCTGATTGCTTTGTTTTAAGCAGTCACTTAAACAACTGAGCTAATGGGCAGGCCCCCTCATTTGCTTTTTAACAGAATGTACTCCTCAACAGAGTAGAGACATAGAAGGATCATGGCTGCTCTTTTAGAAAAGAAATGTACTTTCAGCTCTTTTAAACTAGTCTAGTATTTTATGTTTGCTTAATGCTGTAGCCTCAGTGTCTTAACTGTGCCTCGCTTGTGTAACTGCTCAGTAAATATTTTTTGAGTGACTGGGTGACTTTAAAACCTGATTTCTAAGAAAATATTTTACCTGGATATTTAAAGTATAACAAAAGGTTTGGTGGTCTTAAACATAATATTTATTTTTTAGACATGGGCAAATGTCACCTTACCAAAGGTAAACAGGCTCTGGAGATTCGAAGCAGTTTGTCGGAAAAGCGAGCCCTTACTGATCCAATTCAAGGGACAGCATCTTCCGCAGAGTCTCTGGTGCGCAATCTGCAGTGGGCCAAGGCTCACGGTATGGGGACCTCTCTCTTGTGAGATCTTTCTATCATACTATATTTGAAATCATAAAGTTTTTCTTCTGACTACTTTCTCCCAAATGTTTTACTGAACAATTTTGGTCCCAGCAGGCAAATGTAAAACTAAACAAATGTTTTAATTATAGACATTGTACACTGACTTGTGGACATTGTACTGACTTATTTGATGTGAAGGATACCAAATTATTTAGCCCATTGTTTTTATCATTGATAAAATTTAAATGATACTTAGTTCCTTGGTCTTTAAAATGAGTTAATTTTTTATTTGCCTAATACTCATCCTTTAACTTCTATGTTCTGATTGTTAAAGTGTGTATCTGTCCAGAATCAAACAAGCCTAGATTTGCACCCCAGGTCTACAGCTGAGAAATATGTTGTCTGTCAGTTCTAGATGAGCCATAGTCTTCACTGCATACAGTTGGCAAGACTGCATGGAGTCACCTGAAAGCATGGCTCCTGAATAGCAGCTGCACCCTTCTGTGACACTAGGTCAGGGGATGCGGTGAGGGCGAAAGATAAAGAGAAAATCAGATCTGTGAAGCTTAGTTACTTTTTGGTAATTCTGTGTGATGTGGTGAAAAATAAGTTTATTGACTGAAACATTTAGGATTTTCTTTGAGTCTTAAGTATTCTATTACTCTCTTACCTAGAGATTATTAAAAAATAATTGTATTTATTGAACCATTAGAAAATACTTCTTTTCGTAAGTTTTTATTATCCAAGATAAATTTTTATTAAATTAACAAGAACACTTTGAAACATAAAGTGCTATAAGTATATTATCTTGACATTCCAGATAATTGCATAAGTAAGTGAAATGGAATTTCTTATCCACACACAGAAAAAATGACAACAAAATTACAATGGTAAAAATTAACAGTAAGGAAAACCTTTTATAAAATGAAAATAAACATTGATGTCCAAAGTATGTATAACTGAGCCAGTGAGATAGCTCAGCAGCCTAAAGCGCCTGCCAGGGGACATTG